TTTAATTTATAAAAATTATTTTAAATTAAAAATTTTAAAAATTAATACCTTAAAAATAGGCAAACTTTATTTCGAATGAACCTAAATTTCAAAATGTGAAAGGAAGAATCAAATAAGTTTAATAAAAAGAGAGAGATTAATAAATATATGCCATTAACATTGAGGAGCTAAAATTTTTAGAGCTAATTTTTTAAAAACTACTCCTGCGACTTTCACAAAACTTGGTAGTTTGGTGTAATTTGAGTCCTAGAATCGAAATATGGAAAAAAATGGTATGTTATTTCAGAAAAAGTGCACTTTTGTCTCAAAATACCTATATTAGAACAATGCTATACATAAATCTAATACATAGACTAAGTCGCCCTTTCAAGACATGAAAAACGCAAGTTGAATTTCGTCAATCGGCCCAGTAGAACGGGAGATATAGAACTTTCCCTGCCCTTTTTTTTCCACGATGTACTTTATTTCATTCTAAATTCTAATCTCTCTCAGTACCTTCACAAGTTATGACTCTGATGATACCATTATTGAAACAAGGCTACTGCATTACCTTAGATAATTATTATACTTCACCAGAATAATGTGATATCCTTTTGACTTATCACACAGATATGGTTGGAACTGTTACCTTTAGGACTGAAAAATAAAAAATTAAAAACTGATGAAGTTATATCACTTAGATGTGGCCAAATCCTTGCTTTCAAATTGAAGGACAAAAAGCAAGTAACAATGTTATCATCTTTTCATGATTCTGAAATTGCTGAAGTAATAACCCAAAGTAAAAAACTGAAAACAAAACCAAAGGTAGTAATTAACTACAATAAAACAATGGGCGGTGTGGATCTTGGAGATCAACACCTTTCTAGTTATCAAGTAGCAAGAATCGGTGGGAAAAGATATAATAAAAAAATAATCTTTCACCTTTTAGACAAAGCCGTTTTCAATGCTTTCAAATTTTTAAAAAAGTAGGTGGAAAAAAGTCACATTTAAAGTTTAGACTGGATTTAATCGATGAAATAATTGACAAATATCACACTTTTATCCATTTTTCAAAATGAGGTCGTCCATCGAGTGAAGCGCCATCAAATTGTTTATTTGAATGACAATTTTTAGAACCTACATAACCTACTGAAAAAAAAAAAAAAAAAAAAAAAAAAAGAAAAAAGAAAACACTTCCAGAGAATGTAAAGTGTGTTCATCAAAGAAGAATGCGAAAGGAAAATGACTTGGGAGAGAAACGAGGTATTATTGTAAAGACTGCAATGTAAGACTGTGCATACCATTTTTCAAACTTTACCATATTGAAAGAAACTATTAAATTTTTGAAAAAATATCACAGCTATTATTGACATTGAATGAAAGCATTACCATTTGCACATAACAGTGTGTATTATTTAACTGTACGTGATATTTTTCTCTCCATAATTTACATGTAATCTTAATGGCCTGCATTGAAGCTTTTCTGCCTAGCTTAGGTGTAAGAGGAAAACCAAATATAAAGTAAAATAAGGAAGGTTAGTAAAAAAATTTACATACTTAAAAAAACTGTTAAATTTAAGGGGAAAAAAAAGAGTGTTTTTTGTATGAATTTATTTTGAATTTCATAAACATTAATAGAAAAATTTGATGATTTTTGAATAAATTTTGTCAAAATTTTACGATGTGTAAGGGGTTAAAGGAAGAAAATACGTAAGCTTTTTGCATGACCTTCAAAATGAAATTAAAGAGAAAATACTGAATTTCAGAATTGAATATATGGAAAGCTGAGCTGCATAATTCATCTTATCCATGAAGCCTCTTGTACATTCAGCTATTATTGCTAAAGAAGCAATTAAGAAATGTGACTTCATAATCTGGATTTATCTCAAATAATTATTACCTGTTCTCCAACCTGAAAATTTGACCTTTACAGAAGATTTAATGATGATGGCATGAAAAGAACAATTATAGAAAATTTTGAAGACAAACTTTCGGATTATCAGGAAACCTACCCTAGTACATCTCTCGTGACCAAAGGGTTAAATCTGCTGCACACTGATAATTCATGACAGGTTCGAATCTGAGTAAACACATTTGCTCTGCATGGGCATTGATTTCCGCATGTGAATATAAATTTAAAGCACCTAAGTGAAAATATCTGTATTTTAAAACAGATAACTCATGCATTATGATAAATATAATCAAACAATTTGCAAAAAGTATAATTTTATTTACAAGCTCCGTTACTTTGTGCGAAATCTTCACCAAATCATATAGATTTGCTCATCTAACAATGTAACAAGAGTATTGAAACATATAACAATGTGACAAGAGTATTGAAGTACAAGATTATATTAAGCAATAAAGTACTTTTTTTTTTTTTTTTTTTTTTTCCTTTTCTTAGAAGAATATTAGGCCATAAACTTTCAAATCTACTTATTTATTTACTTTAAATGGTGTACAAATTTTAGAATATATAATTCAGATTTTTTTCAGAAAACGTATAAAAATGAATTAAAAGCAATTGGGGGGGGGGGGTAAATAAGAAAAATTTTAGGAACCTTGGATAGAGAGCTTAAATTTACAATTATATGAAAAAAATAAGAAATTTAAATTTAAAAGAATATTAACAAATATAATTGAATTCAATAAATATTAAGAAACAAAACTATAAATGCTATTTAAAAAAATGTAATTAAAAAAATAATAAACTGCTTAAACCCCTTTTTTTTTTAATACTAGGCAATTTGGCATAATTTGAAATCAAAATATGGGAGAAAACTGCCATATCATTTCAAAAAAAAGTTTGACTTTTTTGTCAAAAAACATACATTAGCATAATGCTGCATATAAATCACTATTTATATACTAGTGCAATCACCTTGGTAAAAGGAAGCAAATTTCTCAGATGTGCTGAACTCTGATAAAAGCAAAACAATTCTTCATCCAACATCCCCATTTTGTATTCTTTTTGTTCTATTAAAAGTTACAGAAGTTTCTACAGACAAATCGTGATTTTTGGCTTAATCTCATTTTTAAAATGTGCCTCTTTGAGATTTGCCTGCAATGCAAGAAACAACGATAAAATTTCTGCAGGAATACACTATTTTGCTGCAAAATCACTATGGAGAACAATTGCTTTAAATCTTTCCAAAGCAGTCACAAAATTTTAATCAGAACAAGATAAATAAAAGTTCACTGTAAGTAGGTTTAGTGATTGATTTTCAAGATAAATACCTGATTAAAATGTAAAATATATATGTAATTTCAATTATAAGTTATTATTCTTTTTCCTTCTGTAAATAACCAACAAATGATGCCAAAGAGATTATGTACATATAAGTATGTATAAATCTGTACTTTAAATGGTGTTCTTGAGACATGAAAATTATAGTCTGGACAACTACAATAGAAGAAACAAAAGTTATCTTATTTTTTCAATGCACAATGCACTTTCTGTCAAAACTATCTTGATATGATATAAAATATGTTGTAATCTTTGTGGAATTTTGGCTGTTGAATTTCGTGAAGAATTTGCCAAGATCCTTGTAGTAAATGCTCATTTACAGACAATGGAAAGAAAGGTAAATGAAAGATGGAAAAGACAATTGAAAAGAAAAATATAAGACTAAAAGAGTTACTAGTCTTGAAACACAATTTTGCATTGTTTTACTTTTCATTTGAGTCTGTTACCATTCAATAAAACATAAGATATTATTCTTTCATATTTAATTTGTATGTTATTAATTAACAAACTAAGCTGTTTAAAGGCAATAGATGAATGCCTTAAAAATATTTTTTCAACACTTTGCTCTGATTTAAATAAAGGTAGATTTAATTCATATCTAATTAAAAACATTATTTATTTTTTAAAAAATTACGTATTTTTAGTCTAAATGCATATTTATCTAATATCCTATAAAATATATAGTCATTCTCAGTAAGCCATCTTTATTCATAACCCCCATTGATTAATCATATTAGGCTTTAAAAGTGCTCTTTCGGAAAAGCATTAAAATCTGAAATCTTTCAGTCTTTTATGAATGCTTTATTGCTGCTCAAATATCTTAATTTTTTAATGGTGGCATTGCCTCATGCATTTAATACGTATTAAAAATTAAGGGTGCAACACTTTGACTGATATGTGAATGATAAATCAAAACTGTCGCAGGATTTATCAGACACGCTGCCCCTTCAAACACCCTAAAATAGTGTACGGGGAAATATTCTTATATTCAGTTAGCTTCTCTTGGCAAGTGAACAGGAAAAGAAATAGTCTGGAAAATATTCTACGCTGTCTGTTCCTTCATCATGGGGAAAAATTTAATGAATTTTCATTTCTATTTTTTATTTATTTCTTCAGGAATAAGAATAAAAATGTTGCTATTTTTATTCAAAGAGACAAGTGGTTTTCTACCAGTATTATCATATGAACTTGCTGAGAATTCAGTGTTACGTTCACTCTTTGTATCAGTATTTTTTAAATATATTTTAAGTGTAACAACAACTATTTCCTAAACCATTTTTTACCTGTCTACTTCAATATTTAGTACGTCTGGGATAAACATTAATAAATGTGCTTATAACTTTAATAAATGTGCTTATAACTTAATGTTCATGCCTTACCTTAATCAACAAACACCCTTTGTCTACACATCTGCAACGATAAACCACAACTAAAAAAATTCAGCAGTGCTAGAAGGAATGTATGATGCAAATGGACAAAACTGCTTTTCATTACAAGGGGATTAAACTGTAACTTATGTGGGATCATGACATCTCTGTTAAAGATGTAAGTTCTCCTATGTAACCAATGCCCAAACATTTTATTATTATTATACAGCTTTATTTATATTACATACTGACGAGTCAAAGAAATATTTCAACTTTTTTAATAATGCTTTCCCAAATCATTTTTAGGTAATACATTTTTCATAAAATTAATCAAAAATCCTAATTAATTAAAGATCAATACAAATTTGCATATAAAAAAAAAAAAAATTACAGAAAATTTCACTCACTTTCTTAATATTTAATGAGTACTGCTTCATCGCTAACTTTTCAACTGCATTCTCAAAGCCAAAAAAGGATTTTACATCCAAGCTGGCTATCTGTTCAAAGCATGTCCAATCAGGATTTTCCGGATGTACCTATCACATAAAGAAATTAGAAAAGAATGGCTATCAAATTTCTCTCAGAAACAAATTCCAGGTTTTATAAGTATAGCATACCTCACGAACAAAACATTGATCCACCTGCATATGCCTGTGTGTATATGTGTATGTATGCATATATGTGTATGTATATATACAACATATAAAATAATAAAATTAAATTGCAGGAATTTTAACTAAAACTCACAAAAAATTTAAAATCACTAAACCAGCATTAGGTTTGTTTCACTAACATAACGGTAATTCAAATACACATTGACCGAAAGAAAGTCATTTGGATAAGCATAAGGCCGTATATTACAATGCAGGATTCAGAAATGGATTAAAAGGATTTCCCACATTTCAACATGCACGAAGCAAATGACACTTGACGACCTCTGTAAATTTTCGATGCAAAACGGAAGTATCTTGCAAATTGCACTTCAAAACACTTTCTAACACAACTGATGACTGCATTTAATCATTTTTTAGTTGATTGAAATAATGTCCTATGAGTTTAAAGCACTTAAATCATTGATGATCACACAGTATAATGTTTTTTTTTTTTTTTTTTTTTTTTAAAGACACTGGCAGAACACGAGCAAAAGATTATGAACACAGAAATTTAAATTAGTCATGGGACAAACTTGCATCAGAATTCGTTTCATCAGATATCAGCAAAAGTGATGGATGCGGCACAGGTGGAGATCCTGTCTTGACTTTGCTGTAATAGATACTGTAATAGAATGCAGGTGGTTGTATCCACTATGAACAACTAGAATTTTGATGCCATAGAATGCTAAAACACCGATCCACAAGGAATAAGAAATTTGGCAGTCTAAGTATATTTAATTCAACTTTTATTTCAGTAAGCATGCTATGGCCACAAACAAGTTGGCACATTAATTATGCCTATACCAAAAAGTTTACATTTTTGATAAATTTGTAGCAAGAAAGAAGCAGCAGACAGACAGCAGTCTAGCTAGGCCATAGCGTTGAAAGCAAGTGCATTATGTTCAGAGTAAAATCTTAATTCAGACTGAGTTAGTTTTGGTTTTCAATGCATTTTTATTGGATGATTAATATTGCTGTAAATTTACTATTGGCTGTTTGAGTTTTAGTTTCATTTCCATCATCAAAATTATGTAAGAGTCATATGACATAGATTTTTCTCGAAATGACACAGTGCAAATAGAGGTTACTATTTTTAGAATACAGAAGGGAATTAATTTTTTCTGCTAATTTAATCTTTTACACATTCTTTATTTTTCTTACATATATATACATAATCCCCAAAGCATTACTTTTATAACTATAAGGAGTTTTTTTCCCTGAAGGTTTGAGTTTAGAATCTGCCCAACCAGAATTTAAAAGTGTCTTTTCTGCAGACATTTTTCAGCTAAAGGAAGAAAGGAATCTATTTAATGATATTTTTAAATAAATTTAAGTGTTTTATATTTATTTAGCAGCATACATAATAAAAAATATGCACACTAAATTTCGTGATGATAAGTCATATTACTGTTAGAATTAGTTTTATAAGTATGCCACAGAGAACTGCCCGAAATTTGAAAGTATTATTAACTAATAAAAAATAAATTTAGAAGCAAGAAGACACATTAAATAATATGAATAACATTAAAATAAATTACTTAAGGATTAAAAACTGAATTACAAAAAACGACAGTATTTTGGCAAATATAGATTAAAAGGTTAGGCTCGATGAAACTGATTATTATTTTTATTTATTTATTTATTTTATTTTACTGCAAAATGACAAATAAGCTATTTAACCCGTTCAGGACCAGCATCGTGCATACGTGAAGAGTTCCGATCAATCTCTACAGCCCAGCATAGCGGATATGTAACTTGAAAACGGAACAATTTATATGAATTTTTAAATGCTAGTAGATGGTAACGATTTTTACATCAGTTAAGCCATGTGGCTTTTGACTTTCATGTATAAGCATTAGTTTCTGTTCTGTGCTTTTGGTTTTGATAGATTTATTGGTGTAAACAAACTGGGAATCACAGCTCTTTAAGGACACCGGCATGTTTGTTTATTTCATTTTTTTGTTGTCTTTGTTTTTATTCTTTGCATTTTTCGGTATTAGAACGTGGGGAAATGCATCCAGCTCAATGTTGTTATTGTTGTTTGTGTGTGCGTGTGTGTTTGGAGAATGTGTGAAAACACATCTAGCTAAATATATAGCAGGTGTGTAACGACACCAAACTTCCGTGGTGGAAAAACTCAGTTACCCATTTTTATATTTATTTTAAAACTTAACATAGACTCTCTTGGTTAATTAAAAAGTAACTCTTTATTACAGAAGGGGAAGATATCTTTTATCTTACTTGCTCGGCAAAAAACGTGCCATTGTACTGTGTGTCGATTTTCATTTTGAATTATTCCACACACAGCAGAATTATTAAATTGGAATTTAATTGTCTACAGATAATTATTGCTTAGTTTTCTTTTACATTTCATAATTTTGTTTTCACGTATGTAGTACTTGTTTTCATGCTTATAGTTATAATTTTAATATTTTGCATGTTTCATTTTTTTCTATAAATTTTTATATTAATAATTAATATATTACGTATGTAACTTTACAAACTGAGGTCATTATATTAAAATGCTAATTTTATATGATTTTTTTTTTGTAAAAGTAGGCTTAACTGCTGAAAATGCATGGGCCGATTGCGGCGTTCCATTTCAGAGAGTTTGGTCCCGTGGCTGCAGTTGATTTTCCGTGTGCTGGTCCTCAAAGGGTTAAGAAAGAAGAAAAGGTTTAAAAAATTTTGTTTTATATGAGAATGGGGGAAATTTACTTTTCTTCAACATGCACTGTAGATGTGCATGCGCATTTCTGGAATCTCATGGTTACTGGAAACCAAAGACATGTGAAATTAGCTTTGTGTTTCTAAAAAAATAATCTGATTTGTACTGCAAAAATTGGCTCTATGCCAGCTGTCCGAATAACGCTCACGCGATACAATTCGGCAAGAAAGTGATCGCGTCTGACGCTGCCACGAAAATCTCTTTTTTGGGGATCGCAGCATGAAATTCTCCGACTTTTAGTTTTTCAGGTTTTCCAGGTAGCGTGGCAACCCTGTTATATAAATATGACATGTTGCCAATTAATTGTCTTTTATCCTGCCCCGAAAGCTACGACTTGTTTTAAAAATTAAGAGACCGTGGTTTTAAACTGCATTATAAATTATGATACACTAATGTCACCTAAACATTCAGTCGCTAAATTTACTGATACACTACTTTATTAATAAAAATGTTTTGAAGCAAATTGCAATTATATTCTAAAATTAAAACTACATTTGTTGCAATACATGTAACATTTAAGGGGGCCAAACAGTTTGGTTCCAAACCTAGTACATAGTTTTAAATTGAATATCTTTGATTCATACTGCTGCTTTTAAGCTATTAAATTGAATATCTTTGATTCATACTGCTGCTTTTAAGCTATTAAATTGAATACCTTTAATCCCTTACTGATAACAAATACTAAACATTTTACTCAGTTCTCTAATTATTTCATGTAATGACCACAATTATAACAGTAATAATGATTTGCACACATTTTCTTCTTAAAAAATAATTTAACTCAGCATAACTGAATAAGTAAAGGAGTATTTACTTACAGAATACAGGCAGTTTTCATTTATAACAACTCTATTTGCAAAGCTCTCATTATAAGCCTCAATTTTCAAGGTTCTGGCACGACGATCAAGGGTATTTTTTTGAATGAAATAAACAACATCAACACCGATTATCTATGAATAAGAAACACACATTATTACAATGCTACGGCTCTGAAAAATACTTAAATTTATGATTAAAGTCTTTCCGTGAATTTCTTAAAGTTTAACACAAAGGGAAAAATACTACTTTGGAAGAATACACATGAATAATTTAACATACATGATTAATTATTACACAAAATGTTCTGAAAGTGATTAAACTTAAATATCATATAAACTTAATTATAACAGTATTAATTAATATGTATTGATAACAATACTTTACATTGATATAGATTAATAGCATAGCTAAACTACTAATACCCATGTTCAAAAACGGAAAGCTCGAAATGCTTTAATGGACATTTGGAAATTTTCTCATTAAATGTTATATAATCTTTGTTATTAAAATATTATTTAATCGATAATAATAATCTCAGAATAATCTCATGGACACTCAGGCATTTTTCTCAATAAAATTTCTGAAAACTGAATAGTATTACCAATTATTACTATTATTTATTATATATGAATACCATTATGAATTATCTATTATTTGGCAGGATTTTTTTCCCCAACATGTTTAAAAAGTAGAACTATTTAGAAAAATCTAACTTAGTCCAACCAAATTCTGTGCATTACAATATAAAGCTTGGTATCACCTGATGTAAACAGCTATTTTCACACTATAAACTATTATCAATAGAAAATTTTCCACATGAATAATTGAGAGGAAAAAAGAAAAATGGCTAAACTTTTTACTTTATTCAAGACATAAAATAGTTTTTGCTGCTTTTCTATTTTTCAGATTATACGTATCAAATTTATAAATATTTTTTCAATACCTTTTTTAAAATATATGGAGCTTCAACATTGAGCCGACATCGCCGTTCTATTATATGGACAGCACCATCCTCACTATTATACTCATATGTAGTTTCACTACCAAGGAAGACCGGAATCATTTTACAGGTTGGAAAACGTTTTTCATATGCCTGAAAAAATGGTGACATTTTCAAAATTAATAAACCATATTAATTATAACATAACATACTGTACACAAAAAAGACATAAATCAAATACAGTTTTTAAAAATGCTGAAATTTTTTGAAAGAAAACCTTTTTCTTAAAAAAAAAAAAAAAAAAAAAACATAACTCCTATATCTGTTACTCAAAAATTTGGGGTTGTCTTATGTTCATCTGCACATCGTGCCATCTGATACCACATTGCCTTTACCATGAATTCTACTAAGTTCGAATATTATGTAGTAACTTCTATGTTCTTCTGTAATAAGTTGTGTTAATAAAGTTGATTGTTTTAGATTCATAGATTCATGTCTTGTAGTAACTAACACCATGTCACATAAAAAACTCTTATAATGGCAGTCCATCTACAGGCATTAAATTTCAAATTTAATCCAAAGTTTGGTTGTTTCAAGTGATTTCATTTTCTTCGCTTCAACTACCATTAGCAAAGATACCAACCTACAGTCCTACTGATCCTGCACTGCATGAATCAACTTTTGCTTTAGCCATACCCAAGCCTATTATGCACTCTAAAAAAATTTAACTATTGTATCGCTCACATGCTGCCGAAAATTCCTTCTTTGGTTCAAGATATCATCCTTCGAGAGCACACTGATGATACTTATCAAGACCTGAAAGCTCATTGTGAGAAAAGCAGTACCCAGAAAATTCAGAAATTAGTCCCAGGGAAGCAACCTGACAAAAAACCATCCGAACTGCTTTGTGTCTTGCAAAGGAGGGGTAGAGTAGACTTTAAGGTACCCCTTGTATTATGGCGAAGTTATTGTTTGATTTATCTCCAAGTTGTTGTTTCATTTATGGTAGCCTGAGTAGATGAATGTTATGGAAACCCTATTGTGATGTAATTGGGTGCATGATTCTGGGAAATTTTGAATCATGGGATGTTTTGTGAGCGTTTTTGTGGTGTGTGTTGATTTGATTCTTTAGACGGTAGAATGGCCGAATGTAGTAAGATTAATTTGAAGTTTCTGTATGATTTGGAGCAAAGGGGGAAAAGAGCTTCAATTGAATGGTGTGTAAATGAAGGTTTACTTAGTAGCCATTATAAGTGTCCAGTATGTAGGAAGGATATGCGTCTAGTCGAACGTAAAAACCATTTAGATGGATTTGAATGGGTTTGTAGGAAGAAAGGTTCAGATGGTCACTATGTGAAGCGTTTGATCAGAAAGAGTACCTGGTTTGAATAAAGTCATTTGAGTATGATTGATATTTCGAGTTTTACGTGGCACTGGGTGTATGAAGCGAACTCGAAAATCATGGTAAGTGGTTTTGGTAGTGCTTAAACGTATAACATGTTTTTCCTTTTTTATGTTATTTTATTGTTTGGTTTAAAATGTATTTCATTGAGATTATGTATTTTTTGTTTGCCTATATTGTAGACTTCGGTGCTCTTTTGACTTTTTAAGTGAAAATATATCGATGTGTACATGGACAAAGTAAAGGGACAATGCAAGTTTGTCCAATTCTGGGATTTTTTTCTTTAAGTGAAAATAGGTCGACGTTTACATGATAAAGTTAAAAGAGTGCGCAATGCCATTTTTGTGCAATTCGGGGATTTTTTTTTTTAAGTGAAAATAGGTTGATGTGTACATGGATAAAGTCAAAGGAGTGCGCAATGCCATTTTTGTGCAATTCGGGGATTTTTTTAAAGTGAAAATAAGTTGATGTGTACATGGATACCGAGTTTGTGCAATTGTTTGTCTTGTTATTTTGGCTTTGTGTAGCGGCGATTTTTGGCACAAAATCCTTGGAAAGGGTATATGCAAGATGAACATATAAAAGTTTGCATAGTATACATACTTTTTAGCGATCAGGTAATTTCATACATGTCCTTTTTACCGAATTCAAAGATTCACAAAAATTTCTTGCATTTTCGTGCAAATTTTTCTAATTTATGAGAAAATTATTTCCATGTTTCATATAAAAATTTGCCCTTTAAAAACAAATTTCTGTGCACGTTTGTTCCACTACTTTTCGGAAAATTCCGATCGTGATTTTAGCTAATAAGCACTTAGAAACAATTTCGCACCTAATCTTCATCATGATTAAGCGCTTTTGTTCCATAAAAGTTCTAGCATAAGCGTAATTCGGCTAGCAGATTGTTGGAAAAAATGTTCAGTACAAAAAAACATGCCTTTACTTTGTGAAAACAAAATAGCGCCTTTCCCCCCCAAAAAAAACTAGCAAGTTGCTGTAGCAGGGTTGGTCGCCAAATGTTCGCCAAAAAATCGTCAAGTTACCATAATTCGAAGATTCACCTTGGCTTGGTGTGTGTCGGATTTTGCATAAAAAGTCCGTTGTTATTTTGTGGTTTACCAGGTACAATGACTGAATATGGTAAAATTAATTTGAACTTTCTGTATGATTTGGAAAGAAAGAGAAAAAAGTATTAATTGACTGGTATGTAAATGAAGGTTTACTTAGTAGCCATTATAAGTGTCTCGTTTGCAGTAAGGAAATGCGTATGATCAAATGTCACAGGATACCGAAACTACGGAGGATATTTTTTACTCTTATTTTTGTGAATTTATGAGGTGATGCCAATAATATCCAGATTCTAGTTTAGATAATTTTAGGAAGTTTTTGGGTGCTGTTAAAGACTTTTGTTTAACTGAAGACAGGAAATTTGTAAATAAGGTAAGTGGATATTTCCTTTGTGTAGTGCAAAGATGAATTTAATTTTTTATGTCATTTCACTGTATGATTTAAATGTTGTTTATTGACATTACATATTTTTTGTTGACTGCTCCTCTGACTTTTTAAGTGAATATAGATCGATGTGTACATGGACAAAGTGAAGGGAATGCGCAATGCCTGGTTTGTGCAATTATCTGATGTTTTTTTAAGTGAAAATAGGTGGAAGTGTACATGGATACTGAATTTGTGCAATTCTTTGACTTGTTATTCTGGATGCCAAAATCGCCAATACACAAAGTTAAAATAACAAGTCAAAGAATTGCACAAACTCGATGTCCATGTATTGGCCATAAATTACCAATTATTATCAAGGGGCACCCGTAAAATATATTTTTACCAAAGCATTAATTGACTGGTGTGTAAATAAAGGTTTACTTAGTAGTCATTATAAGTGCCCTGTTTGTATGAAGGAAATGAGTATGGTCAAACGTAAAGATCATTCATGTAGCTTTGAATAGGTTTGTCATAAAAAAGGTTCATGCAAGAAATGCCACCGAGAGTCCAGCACTACGAAGGATATTTTTTTACTCTAATTTTTGTGAATTTATATGGCAACGACAGTATACAGATTCCAGTTCAGATAATTTTAGAAGGTTTTTGGATGCTGTTAAGGAATTTTATGAGCCATAGACTGAACACACAGAAATTTCTAAATAGGATAAGTCGATATTTCCTTTTTGAAGTGCATAGATGAGATAACATGTGGTTGCTTTTCTATGCTATTTCACTGTTTATTTTAAAGTGCAGTTTATTTAGATTATATTTTTTTGTTTTAATTATGTTTTGGATGACATTTTGCTGGGGAGGATGTTGGACGTAAACGGGAATGGCACCAAAAAAATCACCAATTTTCGCCAAGGGCTACGCTGAAATGTATTTTTACCAAAATCCCTATGTTTTAGATATTATTACAAAAATTACACAACATGTTGCATGTAATTTTACTCAGACATTTAAGAATGTAATGTTCTTTAGTAAAGAATTAATACTTCTACAACAGTTTTGATGAAAATTAAACAATTCTTGAGGGGTAAAATATAAACTAGTTTAAAAATTAAGATTCATTCTTACATAGTTGCAATTTTAGTTGAAATGCCTGAATACAATTAATGAATAAATATCTTAATATATTAAAAGGAAGAGAGACTCATAAAAATACATATATTCATACTTAATTTTTTTAAATGCATACTTACAGCCATTACTAGCTCAAATGGATATTTAAATATCCTAATTGGAGACTGGTACTTTTGGACCATTTTTAGTTTTTTGGATAAAGAAACAAAGGCTGGAATGTAATAGCTTTAAAGGAAGAAATTATTGCTTATCATGCTGACAATATGAAGACACGTCTACTTTTCTTTCTTTTTATGTACACCTACAAGGCACCCAAGCAACCAAAACATGAACATTTAACTCTGGCATATTCTGTAGCTTTTCAGACTCAAACATACCTAAAAAATACATTAAATTAACATAATATAAGCAAACACTGATTACAAAATAGATATAACAAATTACCTTTTAAATATTTTCTAAATAAAAGAGTTTAAAATTTGCAAAACAACTATAGTCATACAACCGGAAATTTTTAACTAAAGCCTAGTTTCTTTTCTAGCGTAGAATCAGATGCAATTTATACTATACTTTGCACCAGTTTTTATACAAGGAATCAATCAAATGATTATATATGTAAGGTAATGAAAGTAAAAAAAAAAAAAAAAAGAAATGCTTGATCAAGAACCGTCACAAGACTTAGTTGATTAGAAAAATACCCATAGAATTAAGGATAAGAGCAGTTTATAAAACACATGTAACAATATTCACGATCGACTAAAAAATATAAACGAAAAATCACCTTCCTAATAATTACAATTACAAAACTACAACTGCCATGTGAATAATAAAAATTAATAGCATGAAAGCTTTAGTTAAAATCAATTTTAGATCAGACCTTTTTAGATCTCAAATTTACAGCATACGGAAAATTACAATGTGTATATCAAGACATCGGTCAATAACTCCTCTTGTAGTGACCTAATCAAATACGTATGAAAACTTAAGTTCCTTAATTATGTTTACACTCGTGGTTCTTGACAGTTCCAGGAAATTTAGTTTAAAATAAAAAGAGAAAAACTCACAGACTTTTCCTGTTATCATCTGCAACTAAATGTTGATTCTTCGCCTTAGCTTTCATTTCACGAAAACATCTGTTGCCACCCTTGGTAATTAATGAAATAATATGGATAAAAAAAGCTACTATCAATAATGATTTTAATTAATTATAAGAGTATTAAGTAAAATTCATAGAAAGTAAATTACCGAAGGATAAGATAGTTCTAGTTCAATTTCTGATAAAAAATTTAATTTTATTCATACCGATTTTTACAAACATCTTATGCTGAAATGATTCTGTAATAGATTTTTCAGATATCTCTATGCAGAACCAGAAAAGTTAAACTAATTGAATTTTCTGAATTAGGTGTTGCTTCATGTAATATGAATCTAAAAATTATATACTTCTTTCGATTTACATGAGCAGACTCACTAGTTCTCACCTTCCGCTGCTGTCAAGTTAAGTGATTTTTAACGACGAATTTTTTCCTGTTTCTGTATAAATGTTTATCTTTCTGACTAATTGGCGTAATTATTTTTCCGGTACTTAAAGACTGAAGTATCTCGTGATTCTCCTTTTTTCTAGTTAATAACTTGTAAGTTAAAACACGTTTTCAGAGCTACTGCAGTTCTTTTTCTTTATAAAATAAATCAAAAAATATATTAATGTTACAAACCAAAACTTAATTTTACTAATATCTTATTGTGTTATTCCGATTATGTTTGCTACTGTGTAGCAATATGTGAAAGAAACTGCGGATACTTTTAGTGCGAGTTCGCCAAAAATTTCTCACTTTGAATGTAGCCTTTCATGTATTTCTTTCGAAAAAAAAATTTAGATGCATATCGTTATGTGAACATTGCCCTGAAAATTCTTACGAATAATCTGACAGTACCTATGTTTTCTGCATGTGTTTTGTAAAATATTCGCTTCTGAATATATTCATTCATTTACTCTACCCAGAAAGTATAAAATTGGTATTCATGCATTGTTAAAATAATTTGTGTCCTGAAGAGGGCACATTTACGTTAATCATTTTAGAAAACCAACTGCACACCATCTTTGAAAATTAGCAAAAGTCGTCTGTATATTGGCTGTAGTTTCAATTATTTTAAAAAAGTAGCTAGTTGTGTTTCAAGGAATTTGTAGTTTCTCTTTTCCAGACAGTATTTTTTTATTAACAAACTAAAAAGAGCCACATTCTTTCTTAAAATAGTACTCTAGTCCTTTTTATATTAATATTAACTGTAGGGTAAGATTTTTATATATGTGTGTGGGAGGGGGTTGTATATGTGTTTTATCAGTGAAGTAGCTTTTAAAATAGAGTGATAAATTAGTAGTTCACCTGTTGAGCTAGAGTGATATTTTTCTCCACTTTTCATCTTGGAATTCTAAATGCGATTTTATTTGTAAAATTTTTTATAGTAAATGCCTAGTGTGATATAATAATTAAAATTTAACAAAAAAAAAAAAACAATATATATTCAGTGCTTTTTAACACTGTAAAGTTTTAAGATGTAAGCAAATGTAGTGTAAAAGACTGTAATTCAATAATTTACTATTTCTAAATTTTTTATTGAAATGTATTCGATTGTCTGAAAATTTCAGCTTGCACATAACTTAAAATAAAATATGTAAAATGTACAAATAAAAAAGTATTTAAAATAAAAACTCCTTTTAATCTAGAAATTTTGATTAAGTTTTTAGTTTATACTTGATGCTTTATAGTTTATACTTAATGCTGGATGAAAGTAAATCTTACCCACTGTCTTTTTATATCAAATTTAATTTTTATGATCAATGTCTTTACAATAATTTAATACATATATATATATATATATATTACATTTAAACAAGCTCAGTATTCATGGTTTGGAGAAAGTGCAGAATCGCCCACTGCTTGGCGTGTTTTTAAGAATTGCACATACTTGGTATCCATGTGCACATCGACCTATTTTTACTTTAAAAAAATATCCCAGAATTGCACAAGAATGGCATTGTGCACTTCCTTGACTTTATCCGTGTACACATCGACCTATTTTCACTTAAAAAGTCAAAGAAAATTGACAAAAATAAAATTCTTCTTACTCTTATAAAAAGCGCCAAACAAATAAGTGGGCGATTCTGCACTTAAGTGCATGTTTTTTTTTTTTTTTTTTTTTTTTTTTTTCCCAGTATGTAACTTAAATAAAATTCAGCTTCTTTCAGAAAGTCTGGGAGTAATGTAATATACAGTCTACCACTTTTGATTACTTAGTTATTTCTTAGATGATGTTACAAAAGTGCTATTTTTAAACTGTAATGGTCATTGGCTGCCAGGCTATTTACATATTTGCACTTTTCAAATTCTTAAATTTTCCAGCTAAAATCCTTGGTAGTTAAACTAGGAGGGGAAAAATTAGCAATGTTAAAATAAACAGCAGAACTGTTAAATCAACTATAGTTGACATTAGAAAATTATGTTAATAATTAAATACATCATTTGGAATCTAACATGATAGCTAAGCATCAACAATAAAAACTGAAATTATATTGCTAAAAGCCAAGGAGCAAAAGAAATATCAGTCAACTAAAATTAATGTTAGCAACTAAATAGTTTTAATTTTACCATTTTATATATTGATTATGATTAAACTTCCTTTGCCAGTAAAATTTTTAAAGGAAGTTCAGAATTATCATTATTAGTCCAGAAATAGGTGCAATATTTTTTAACTATATACAGTCAAAAGTCTTTAATCCGGACTCTTCGGGACTTCGGCGATTCCGGATTAGCGTTTTTTTTTTTTTGGATTATAGATCATCAGTTTAAATCTGGTAAGATGGCATGCAGAAATTATAAAATTAAAAATATGAAACCGTAATTTATGAAATAAAGAGCAATTATGATCTAAAGGGTATCAAAATTTACAAAAAAAAAAAAAAAGCTTAATATTTATTTGTTTACTTTATTAAACATTTCTTTCAACGCGCGCATGCGTAAAGCATACATTACGCATAGTCGAAATTAGAAAATTGCAACCAGAAAACTATTTGATGTGTATTCGTGATATTTATAATGACGAGGAATTTGATTTAAATCATATCAAAGACGGAGTACATCGAGATGAAATACTACATTTAGTAAGGAATTATAAGCCGAATAAAATAAAAACATCTGCCCTGAAGATAAGGATAGTGCTGACAGATCAACTTCCAGTTCATTGCGCACCGCGACGTTCCCCCCTCCCCCCCACAGAGCAGCGTGAAATTGATAAACAGATTTCGGAATGGTTAGAGAAACAAAGGATATGCCTTTATCCATTTTTTGCAGCAATTCCACTTTTTGTTTGATGGACATCGAAACATGCTTTCGCTTTGTAGATCCTTTGGCAGCTCCAGAATCGGAAATTCTTTTGACATAATCGAAAGTTCAAGCTTACTTTTATAAAATTGCTCTAACAGTCTGCAAAAAATAATAAGCCGGATCCAATTAGAAGATTAAGGAACAACGCAATCTGCAACATTAACTGAAATAGATAATTAGATAATTTTAGCTTAGCTTATACGTCTTTATAACGTCATCAAAGTATTAGCAGTAAACATTGTGCCTAAGCGTCGAAAGTTGTAGCTTTCGAATAAACTTGGATGACCGATAAAGCCTTTATACCTTTCGATGGCATATTAAATTACAGGTGATATAATTAAAGTTTAAGTTTCAAAAACGCTATAAAAAAAGAACCACTCATGAAAATGACGTCAAATTTGAAAGGAATGTTATTGAAGAAGGCGGAAAGCGTATGGCAGAAGAAAAAATTTAGTTTCAAAAGTTAGCAACAGATGGCGCTGCAAGCGGAAGAAGACGTAAATTAAAATGTTAGTTAAATTTCAGTGTTATAAAGCCGCCAGGTACCAGGCTGTTCCTCATTTCGCGTCTCAGACGTTCGCCATGGGTGTTTCACTGCAGGACCGCGCTCTGCTGGTAAAGCTGTATTACAAGAATGATGATTGTGCAAGAGTAGCTCTGCAAAAATTCAGGACACTGAAGGGTATAAAAGAAGGCGTTGGTCCAATGAGTGTCGTAGGTCTAAAGAAAATGATGCAAAAATTCGAAACGACAGGTTCGTTTGATGTGCAATCTGGTAGAGGGAGAAAACGAGTGCATTCGACGGTAGTTGAAGAAGTGGCCACAGCATTACAGGAGGGGTCGGCCGGTGGTGTGCAACCGTGCAGTGCACGAGGAATTGCCCGAACATTGGACAGGCCTACGAGCACGGTGCTGAAAATTGTACGAAACATCCTGCAATGCTATCCGTACAAAATTGGCCATGTGCAGGAGTTGCTTCCGTCTGACCTGACAGCTAGGGAGACGTTTGCGTTAGAATTCCTGGCTCGCATGGAAGTGGATAATGAATGGCCGTGGAAAATTTTGTGGACAGATGAAGCCCATTTCCATCTGACAGGATACGTGAATACCCAGAATTGTCGAATATGGGCAACAGAAAATCCACTGGCAACGCACCCCCGTACCACTTCATCCTGAAAAGGTCACGGTATGGTGTGGCTTTACGGCATCATTCATCCTACAACCATATTTTTTCGAGCAGACGGGTGCTTCCGGTCCTGTTACCGCAACCGTCACTGGTCAGAGGTATGCGTCTCTTTTGCGCAACCACGTGATTCCAGCTCTGCAACAGCGTGGATGTGTGGATGAAATCATTTTTATGCAAGATGGCGCTCCTCCGCACATTGCACATCCCGTGAAGCAGCTGCTGAGGCGCCATTTCGGAAATGCTCGAATTATCAGCCGTCATTTCCCTACAGCCTGGCCGTCCCGATCGCCTGATCTTACTCCGTGTGATTTCTGGCTGTGGGGATATCTGAAGGATGTTGTGTTCCGTGCTCCAATTGCAAATTTAGCGGAATTAAAGGCACGCATTTCGCAACACATTCTGAACATCACCCCGGAGACACTGCGATCCGTTGTGGAACATGCTGTTTGTCGCTTTCAACTTGTTGCACACAACGGTGGACACCATATTGAACATGTTTTGCGCCAGTCTCGCGACAGTTCCGAACTTCTTTGATGAATGGTTCTTATGCGGTATGTCGCCGCAAAACTCTTGAAACCGATTTGTCCCTTTCGATGTGATATGTACAGTCATGCAAATAAAATTATTCAACAATTCTAATTTGTCAATGCGTTTTAATGTGTAACATCCACCTTAGCCGTTGTTTTACGAATCATTTCTCGTCGTGATTCTGCTGCTTACAGCGCCATCTGTTGCTAACTTTTGAAAACTAAATTTTTTCTTCTGCCATACGCTTTCCGCCTTCTTCAATAACATTCCTGTCAAATTTCACATCATTTTCATCAGTGGTTCTTTTTTTTATAGCGTTTTGAAACTTAAACTTTAATTATAATCACCCTGTATATATATATATATTATATATTATTGCACTAAAATAGAAAATATAAGCCTAAAAAAGTTTTTTTTTGATATTCAAATAAACTAATACTTAATAGCTAAATAAAAGGCTAACTTCATTCCCTTTCTGAGAGTATGATAGTATCTTCAGGGGGAAATTACTTCCTGGTTAAGAACCCTTGCTTTTGAT